AAGACTTCCAATACAATAATGAATAAGAAAGGGGATAGTGGGTATCCTTGTCTAGTTCCTGTTCTTAAAGGGAATGTCTTTAATCTCTCTCCATTGAGAACAATGTTGGCTCTCGAATTTGCATATATACTTTTCACTAGGTTGAGGAAACTCCCCTCGAATCCTATTTTGTTGAGTGTTTTAATCAGGAGAGGATGCTGAATTTTGTCAAAGGCCTTTTCTCCATCAATTGATAGGATCATGTAGTTCTTTTTCTTTGCTTTGTTAATGTGATGAATTACATTGATTGTTTTTCTTATGTTGAACCATCCTTGCATACTTGTTATGAATCCCACTTGGTCATGATGAATTATTTTTTTTTTTAATGTATTGTTGGATTCTATTGGCCAGGATTTTATTCAGGATTTTTGCATCTATGTTCATAAGAGATATTGGCTTATAGTTTTCTATTTTGGTTGTGTCTTTACCTGGCTTTGGTACTAAGGATATGTTTGCTTCATAAAATGAGTCTGGGAGAATTCTATATATTTCTATTTCCTGAAATACTTTATGCAGAATTGGTGACAGTTCTTCTCTGAATGCTTGATAAAATTCACTTGTAGAACCATCTGGCCCAGGCCTTTTTTTACTTGGAAGTTGTTTTATTACTTTTTCAATTTCTTCTTTTGTAAAGGGTCTGTTCAGATGTTCAATTTCAGTTTCTGTCAGTTTAGGTAGGTTGTGCATATCTAAGTATTTGTCCATTTCCTCTAAGTTTTCATAGTTGTTTGAGTATAGCTTTTCATAATATTCCAATGTTAGCCTTTTTATTTTAGTTGGTTCTGTTGTGATTTTGCCTGATTCATCTCTTATTCGGATTAGTTGTGTCTTCTCCTTCTTTTCTTTTGTTAGCTTTGCTAGTGATTTGTCGATTTTATTGACCTTTTCAAAGAACCAACTCCTTATTTGTTGATGGTTTCAATTGTTTTTTCAGTTTTCCACTTCATTTGTTTCTGCTCTAATTTTTATAATTTCAGATTTTTTAGAGGGTGTCAGGTTTTCTTGCTATTGTTTTTGATTTCTTGGAGCTGTTGGGTTAGAGTGTCAATGGTCATTTTTTTCCTGCATTATGATGTTTGCTTATTGTTATAAATTGGCCTCTGGTTACTGCTTTTGTTATTTCCCAGAGGTTTTGGTAAGTGGTGTTTTCATTGTCATTTGTTTAAAGAAACTTTTTAATTTCATTTTTTATTTCTTCTAGTACTCACTCATGTTCAAGCAAGTTGTTGTTCAGCTTCCAAATGTATGTTTTTTTCTCCTTTCTCCTCTTGTTATTAATTTCCAATTTTGTGGCTTTGTGGTCTGAGAAGATACTTTGTATAATATCTATGTTTTCAAATTTGTTGATGCTTGCCTTGTGACCTAGAATGTGGTCTATTCTGGAGAACCTTCCATGCACATTGGAAAAGAAGGTATACTGTGCTTTTTTGGGGGTACATTAGCCTATAAATATCTATGCGTTTGAGTTGGTTTATTGTGTGGTTTAATTCTTGAGTGTCTGTTGAGATCCTTTCTGGTAGTTCTATCTTTTCTTGAGAGTGGTATATTTAAGTCTCCAAGTACTATAGGAGAGTTATCTATTTCCTTTTTCAGTTTTGTTAAGGTTTGTTTTACGTATTTTGCAGGTCTTTCATTTGGTGCATAGATATTCATTATTGTTATGTCTTCTTGTTCTATTGACCCTTTCAGCATTATGTAGTGACCTTTATCATCCTTTGTGATGGTTTTTGCATTGAAATTTATTTTATCAGAGATTAGTATCACTACTCCTGCTTTTTTTTTGGTTGCCACTTGCTTGGTATATTTTTTCCCATTTTTTAATTTTTAGTCTTTCTTTAACTTCATTTTTCAAATGTCTGTCTTGTAGACAACATATTGAGGTATTTTGTTTGTTTTTTTTATCCAATCTGCTACTCTTTTTCTCTTCAGTGGTGCATTTAAACCATTCACATTCAGTGTAATTATTGAGAGGTAAGGTTTTATTGCTATCATTTTGTTCAATTCTTTTTGGTGCTTTTTGCTAGTTACTTTAGTCTGTCCTGTTTTCAGTGACATCTCTGGTATGAAGGACATCTCTCAGTGTTTCTTGTAAGGCTGGTCTTGTTTTTATAAACTCTCTTAGTTTCTGTATTTCTGGGAATATCTTGGTGTCTCCTCCATATCTGATGGACAATTTTGCTGGGTACAGTTCTTGGTTGACAAGGCCAGCCCTTTTTTGTTGAAATTGATACCCCAATTTGGGAAAGATAGGACACACCAAATGGCACAAAGTGTTAAAGATCCCAAAAAGCTTACCTTATAAGGGCTTCCTTAAGGGCTTGAACTTTAGTCAAGTTAAATTAAAAAGTCACACATATGTGGGCCCAAAACTCAAGTGTCTATGCACAGGAAGAGAAAAGGACTACTTAATACCCACACAGTAAAGGAGTGGAGGGTTTCACTGACAGAATGAATGCACAGAAGATTTCTCATCTTTCTCCCTTAGAGTTGCTTGTGGACTCAAATTGCCAGAGAGGTATTATCTCAGGGTTAGGCAGCACAACTTCCTACAAACTATGTCCTTGGAGCTACCTGAAAGTCTCTTCTGACTCAGGTCCAGTGAGAATTACTGATGTGGTCCACTGATGTCCTGACACACTTGTCCTGGGTATTTCAATAGGCATGGAGCTCTGAAGGAAATCTATACTGTGCAAGCTGGCTTCGCTCTAGCCCTGCTCAGAGTTCTTCAGAGCATTCTCACCCTATCACACTCTTTGTGACATTTTCCCACCTAGGAGGCTCAGTGTTTGGAGAGACCTGAACCTAGGGGAGATACTGTCCAGGTGACTCCTGACTGCCAGGGGAGGAAAGGGAGGGATGATATTACCAATGACTGAAGAGCGATGGTAATGTCACCATCCAGAAAAGTCAGGTCCGTTTCCTACAGTGCTACCCTGAACTTGACTTTCCCAAGGTTAAGGTGAGCCGACTGCCCTGCTACTGGAAATCACAATAGTATTTTTTTTGTTTGATTTATAAGACAGTAAGAAGAGTTGGTAAGTGTTAAGTTGGGATAAAACAGAGGGAAGAAAAACATCATAAGAAGCAGTCTAATTTTGGAAACTCTGAGCTTGATGCCAGGTCAGGTTTTGTTTGGCTGATGGGCTTATTTTAAAAAACACACACACAAATACCACTCACAGACACAAATATATGCATGCACATACATGTGCATACATGTACACACATGTGCATACATACCCACACATGTATGTACACACATGTGTTTTTTTACATGCACATGTATGTACACCGTGTTCTTGCTGTCTGGGTCTGCTGTGGCTTCCTGGAAGCATACTGGTTTTGTCCAACTCCTGCTGCCAGGAGCTCAGCTCTGTCTATTGCAAACTACCATCAGTAGAAACTTCAACACTGCCACAGCACAAAGTAATTTCATGATATCTTCTTGGTTTCTGGGATGACCTGATTCCTGTGTATCTTGGTAATGCCTCGCAGAGCTGGTTTTGCTGCTACAGAAGTCAGAGTTGGTAACAATTCATTAAGGGTGCTGGGGTTCATGGTGAATAGCAAGTATTCAGACAGCTGAGCTGAGGCAGGGCATGGAGCAGGGTTAAGGTCTAAGAGGTCGGGGAGTCTATTCTCCCTCCTCAGTTGGGCTGAGTGACCTCCTCTCAGCTCCACAGAAGCTGCAGTTTCCAGCAATGAGCCCATCTTGTCTGTCTTCTTCCCTGAAGTAAGCTGGGAGCTCTGCTGTGTTCTAGGTCCAGAGTAGGCCTCCACTGACCTGTACCCTTGCAGGAGGTGAGGGCTTCAGAGCAGAGTTTGACAAGGAACAGTTTGAGACCAGGCCACACCCAGTCAAGAAAATAAAAGAACTACCCTGAGAGTTGAGATTGTAACAACTCCTTTGTGTGCTAACAGGTAAATGTATATCAGGAGCCAATTCCATTCTAGACTGGCTGCTGGTACATGGTCCCCTATCAACGAGATCTGTACCTGGCATTTTCCCTTTATAGCATTCTTTACCCTCTCCTTCAGAGAGTGGAGGTCTGTAAAGTCACTGCTGCTACCACACTGTACGAAAGTCCAGCATCTTCTTAGGCAGGCAGGGAGAGTGGGTCTCCAGGAGCAGCAGGCTGATGTGCAAAGCAGGTCTAAGCAGGTCCCTGACCTCTAGTCTGAAGCAGGATCTCAGTCTCCCTGGTTCTGGAATATTTCTGCCACGTGTGAGGAAGAAGGGAAAGCAGTCCGCAACTGTTCCTCAGAACCACGACATAAGCAGCTCCTAGTCTAGGAACCTTCAATGTTTGAGAAACAAACAAAAAAAGCTTCAAGCTTCATCTCTGTCTTAAAAATATCCTAAAGGTTAAGAGGTAACTAGAAGTGTTCCTACTTACAGTAAAGGTTTAAGAGAGGTCCTACTACCAAGGGTTTATGATATAACATAAAGAGAACAAAGCAATACACAAAACTAGTACAGAATGCTCTTGAGTACATTTAAAGTATATACAGAAAAAGTCTGAAAGAAAATGTATAAAATATCAACAGTGATGTATGTTGTTGTTGTTGCTAGGTGCTGCCGAGTCATAGACGACTCATAGCGACCCTATGAATGAAAGGCCTGAGCATTAGTGATATCTAGATACTGAAATTAAAGAAAATTGTTTTCTTCTTGATATTTTTTCTTTTCATGAGTATGTATTAAGCAACTGACATTGTAGAAAAAAAATGTTAACAAAGAAAGTAAAAAAGAAAGGCCCCAGTTGGGGGTGTAAATGAATGGTATTTGTTCTGTTCCAGATAACATGAAGCTAAGTAATAACAGTGCCCTTGAGTCCTGGGCTACCTCTTGACTGCTAGCCAGAATGGGGGCCTAACCCACATGTGTACAGTACAATACCACCCACAGGGCCCTGCTCTGGGGCTGAGTCCCAGAGCTCCCCAAATGAGGTCATCCTTACCTGCAGCAACTCCAGATCAGACAAATCCTCCTGCCCAGGGACCATTTCAGTTAACATCTCAGACATGACTTTGGTGTTTCCTCTAACGACATCTAATTCGCTCCGCAGCCTGGCAATCTGTTGGGGGCCAGAAGATGGGAAGCAGAAAGGAGAAGTCAGCCACCTTCATCTGGAGTAAATCAGAACTCCATAAGTTGGTGCCAGTCTACCTCACTGGGAAATCTAGGTCCCACTTCTAAATGTATGCTACAGGAGAGCCATCAAGTCTCATTCTTTTTTCTTTTTTTTGTTTTCAATGTTTTTCAGGACTTTGGAGAGGTCTTTATTTTTTAAAATAAATTTTTAATTGTGATTTTAATAAATGTTTACAGAGAAGTTAGATTTTTCATTCATTGATTGTTGCACTTTATGCCCCCTTTTCCCCCTCCCCCAGTGCACTTTTAAAAAATATTCACTTATTGCATAATCACCTACCCCTCACCCCCTAGTCCTGTTTGCAATGTACCTCTTATTCTGGACTGTTGTTGTACATATAATGCCTAATCATATATTCCTTTTAGACAGTTTTTTCATCTGTTCCAATGGAATGGTCATTTTCTATCAATTCTTATCCTATTATCCTCCCAAACTCCCATATCAGACCTTTTTCATTACACTGCTGCTATGCAGTATTTGTCCTTTTGTGACTGAGATATTTTACTCAACATGATATGCTCTGAGAGGTATTTGACAGCAGATTTTCCCAAGGCTATATATGTCTCCTGACTGCTGGAACCAAACAAGATTAAATCATTGGCAATTTCAATCTTCTCTTAACCTATCATGATGATGTTGCCCATTGGTCCAGTGATGAATTTTGCTTTCTTGATATTGAGATATAATCTATATTGGAAGCTGCAGCCCTTGATCCTCTGCAGCAAGCATCTCAAGTTCCCCTCACTTTCAGCAAGTAAAGCTATATCATCTGCATAACACAGGTTGTTGATGAGTCTTCTGCCAATTCTGATACCACATTCTTCTTCAAGGCGAGCTCTGGTGGCCTAGTGGCAGGAAACTGCACTGCAGTCCCAGAGGAGCGTGGTTCAAATCCACCAGATGCTCTGCTGAAGAAGGAGGAACAATCGCTTCCTGTACCAGTCAGATCCAATTTGACGGTACACACATAAAAAAATAAATAAAAATGAAAAAAATACTCATACATTCTTCTTCATAAAGTTGAGCTTCTCAAATTATTTGTTCAGCAAAATATTAATAAAAATTTTTCATAGTAATAAAAATATTTTATTAATTCCACTAAAATATCTTTACTAATTTCTTGATCTCTGTAAATGGAAACCTAATTAATATGGTTTGTGAGACAAAGTTGTTTGGACTCACATTTGTCCTTTTCTCACATTCTATACTAAAACTGACAACAAATCCTCTTGCTTCTATCTTCAGTATACATGTACAACAACAAAAAGATACATAATTTTAAGAAAACCTTAGGGAAAAGACATTAATAGGAAATTTATCAAGGAAAATATTCATAGGGCCAACAGACAAATGAAAAGATGTTCAATGTCATCAGGCATCAGAGAAATGCAAATAGTTCAAAAGGAGTTGAACTGCTAACCAAAAGGACACCCCTCTTTGTTTAAATAAAATTTCTTTAAATAAAATTTTTATTTTATACTGGTTTATTTACAAAGTTAGTGTACATTGTTTTTCACACCGGATCTTGCACATTTCCTTTACCCACCCTTCCCTGCACCCACCATATTGTGCAACCCTATGATAAACCAGCCCCCATTTCTGCCCATCCTTACCCCTCTGCTCCCCACCTCCTCTCCTTGGATCCTCATACACATTCTACAATAACATTACACAGTATTTGTCTTTATAGGACTGAGTTAGCTTACTTAGCATAATGCTCTTCAGTCCCTCCCAAGTTAGGTAGTGACTTTCAAAATCATTGCTTCTGCATGCTGCATAATTTCTCAATCCATCTGATTATGGTTGAACATTTGGGCTCTTTCCATGTTCTTGTGAAGTGAATAATGCTGCTATGAACATCGGTGTACAAGTCTCCATTTGTCCTTCAGTTCTTACTTTCTTAGGGTATATTCCAAGCAGTGGAATAGGTGAGTCATACTGAATTTCAATATGGCTTTTTGAGGGAATGCCAAACTGCCTTCCAGAGTAGTACCATTTTACAATCCCACCAACAGTGTATATGAGGTCCTATCTCTCCACATTCTCTCCAACATTTATTATTTGCAGTCCTGTTAAACTTTGCCACTGCTACTGGAATGAGATGGTATCTCACTGCGGTTTTGATTTGCATTTCTCTTATTGCCACTGATTTTGAGCATTTCTTTATGCGTCAGTGGCCATTTGAGTATCTTCCTCTGTGAAAAGTCTTTCCATGTAGTTTGCCATTTTGTAATTGTGTTATCAGTCTTTTTTCTTGTGGAGAACCTGTAGGATAAACCTTTGATATAAGACCCTAGTCTGAATTGGTATTGCCAAATATTTTTTCCCAGTCAGTAGGTTTTCTTTTTACTCTGTTGGAGAAAGTTTTTGATGCACACAGGGATTTAATCTTTAGAAGGTCCCATTCATCAATTTTATCCTCTCCAGATTGTGCATTTCTGGCTGTACTTGGCAGTCTCTTTATACCACAGATTATGCTGTCTAAGCTTGATCCTAGTTTGTCTCTGATGAATTTTACAGTTTTGGAGGACACCCCTCTTTGGTGGTTCAAATTCACTAGCTGCCCCATGGGAGACAAATGGGCAATCTCTCCTGTGTGATATATATCCTGAATGGTGCAGGCTTGAGACTCCCTCTTCTAATGTCCAGAGCTCTTCTCCTTGCTCTGTCTTGAAGATCACCTCTGGCTTAGTGACATAACACTCTACTGAGACAATGTGGCTATAATTTTCCAGTGTCACATCTCTGTAGAGCATTTTCCGAGAAGGATCCAGTTAATCCTATTCTTCCTGGGTAAAGTCTACACACACATCTTTGAATGATACTTGTTCTTGTAACAGCATATTCTTTTTCTATTTGAAGTGGTCAGAACTTGTTAGTTTGGTGGTGGATTTGAACTTCCAAAGAGGTGAAATCTCTGTGTTAGCAGCACAACTACAAATTAGGACACGAGAGCTCTTGAGATGAGTTCATCTTCTGCTCATCTTGAAGCTGCTTATGCCATTAATCCCTTGAGGGTAGATGATCCAAGAAGCCTCTTATTCAATTACCCCTGCTGCCCTGCCATCAAGTCTCATTCTAACTCATGGATAACTGTGGCAGCAGTTTGGTGATGGGCGTGCATGAGTGGTGAGTTCACTTCAGAAAAGAGTGGTCGCCAGAAGCCTGTGGTGCCTGAGGATGGACTTGTGATGCTATGGCAGTAGCTCACTACGGTGAGAGAGCACTGGGTCCTGGGGAAACCAAGCTGGCTCTTCTGCTGTATGATGGTGAACTAAGCCCTTAGGGCTAGAGGGCTCTGCTTTTTAATGTCTGCTCTTTCAAATGACAGTGCTGGAGTTTGCAGTCTCAAAATATTCCCAGAACTGAGAGTATGTTTTTGAACTCTTGTTGTAGTAGACTCAGTCTCCTGTGAGTGAGTCTACATTCTCACTGTTAAGGTCCTCTGGGAGGCTGGCTGATGGGAACCTCATTTTTTTCCACTGTGGCAAGAGCAAGGGCAGGGAAGCAAGCACAGATTACTTATCCAGCATCATGACGCTTTGGGAACAATCCAACCTGTCCGTTAAAGGCAGCTACCCAATTCTGGCTCTGGGCCCAGGAAGGCAGGAGTCTCTCCTCATGACGGAAGTGCATGCAAATCAGACTACACATCTGGCCCACTTCAACATGCAAATATGCAGAAGTGCTCTTGTGGCCCCACAGACATGGTCATGCAGGGAGAGGGGCCAGTAATAATGGGCATCTGGAGGAGCACAGGGCTTTTACTGCAGCAGCAACACTACAAATGTACCTTCAATTTTCTGAGCCTCTGTTTCTTCACCTATAGAAAAGTCATGATATTGCAGGCACTCACAGGGCGGCTGTGATCGCATACCAGTTCAGTGCCTAGCACATGTGTGTTCAGTACTAGTTAGCTTCCACTTCAGCTGAAATGTCCAGAGGCTGGTGTGTCCATTCTTGGTGACTTTCAGGAAGCCTTTCTTTACTGCCTTGGCCCACCCTGAAGCAGACTGACTGCGATTCTCATGTCCTCCTCTGTGCTCACACTGAACAGCCTGTTATCTCAGTGTCTATACTCAGTTGCTCCTGTATTCACAGGTACCTATGAACAGCTGACCTGAATCCTGCCCTATCCTGTACCATCTTCATCATCTCTTACATCATCCCACTGCAGAAGTCATCATGTTAATCTATTTGTTGGAGGTCTTCCTCTTCTTTACTGACCTCCATTTTTCCAAGCATCATGTCCTTTTCCAAAGAATAGCCTCACCTAGTTAAATGTCCAAAGTATTGAAAGACAAAGCTTTGCCATCTTTGCTTCTAAGAAGTACTCTTGCTACACTTTCCCCAAGATCTATCTGTTTGTTATTTTGGCAGTCCATAAGATATTTAGTACTCTTTTTCAACACCACAACTCAAAGGCATCAATTCTTCTTCTGTCATTTTAATTCACTGTCCAGCTCTCTGATGCATAGCAGGTGACTGAAAAGACCATGGCCTGAATCAGGCACACCTTAGTCTTCAAACTGATATCACTGCTCTTCAGCATTTTAGAGAAGTCCTTGACTGCAAACTTGCCCAGTACAATGATGTCTCCTGATTTCCTGACTGCTGATATCAAGCAAGTTGACTGTTGATCCAAACTCAATACTTTTACCATCTATCATAATGTTGACTATTGGTTCCATAGTGAGGACCTTGCTTTCTTCATGTTAAGATGTAATCCATACTGAAGGCTGTAGTCCTTGCTCTTCGGCAACAAGTATTTCATAGCCTCCTCACTTTCCACAAGTAAAGTTGTGTCAGCATTAGCACAGGCAGCTACAGCCCTGCAGTGAGTCCTGAGAAGTTGAGTGGAATTCTATTGGCATTAAGGAGGCCACTTTGGGCCCTGGCAGGATTCAGAGGTGTGGGCAGAG